TTTGATGCCAGTGGCAGGCCGTTCTCGAATACCTCGACAGTGACAATCAACCCGGTCTCCTTGTTGTTGATGACGCCGCTAGAGTCAAGAGCAACGACACGGAGTATCCTGTTACCACCAGCAGTTGAAACCACAGGCTCAATACCGGTCAGTATGAGATCAAGCGACTGACTACCTTTGACCGTTCGATCAAACTTGCCCTGAGAGCTGTTGCTATACTTCAATTCCAGCTTGACGATGTCCTGCCAGTCAGCGCCAGGGCTATCGTCTCGGTACCAAGTTCCTCCACCACAACCGCAACAACTGACATTCGCTGGCGTAGTTGTAGCAACAGTCATAAAGTCACCCCATAGAGCATTCCAACCAATACCGTAGAGACCAGCCGGGGTGCACAGAGCCTCAGCAACGTAATCAGCGCAGTGTCTCCCAGCACCGTCCAACCAGTTGATATCATCTTCACACCATGCGTCAAGATCATCATCGGGTACACCCATGTATGGCACAGCCAGAGAGAAGTTGACAGACATGGAGGAAAGTGGCGGAACGATCACTTGTTGGGATTTAACCTTTGGGATAAAGATCAATGTAAGAGGTCCGGAGGTAGCCAAGAGATGCATCAAGTTGGGACAGTCGTTAGCGTCACTTCCCTTCAAGCCAGCTGCAACATCCTCACGATAAGCTGGGTCAGGCAAAGAGGCGTAGAGTAGATCGATACGTCCTTCCGAGAACAAGTGGACCTGCATACTCAACGTGTGCCAACTGTTGTTCACTCGAACCTCCAAACCATCCCATTCGACCACCAACAGACGTGTCTTGTAGTCCAACACGTACGAGATATTGCAAGAGCTAACGGAGCATCTAGTTGAATTAGCTTCAGTCCAGTAAGCGGCAATAGCATGTTTCGGCTCAGCTGGCGAAGGGATACGAGGGAGGGCCGTGACTGGCGATGGTGACAATGGCGGCAACTCGATGAAACCATTGCAACCAACATTGACCGAGTCGACGTCAACGCCGAAAAAGGGGAAGTACTGGCCAAGAGAGATCATATGCACTTCACCTCCGATACAACCCGATAGTATATGTTGACCAACAATAGAGATTTCCGGGACCCAGCCTCCACCAGTAGGCCAGATAGGAAAAGATACCGCAGAGAATGGACCTTCAACCAGATATTCGGCATCGCTAGCGACCACTTGCGTCTTCAGCTCGTACGTTGAGGGATTCTCAATTGTAGCCGTAGAGGGAACCATCCGCAAACCAACAGGGATATACTCTGTAGAATTCGTGGCCGAGCCGTTGGACACACGGATAGTTGATGACTGGACAGAGGCCGTCAGAGGTATGGGCGGGCAATTCTCACTCAAGCTGTCAACCACAAGATTGACGGGCCCTGGGTGAAATACGGCCAACGAGAGCTCGACAATGACCGACTGGCCCTCAGCAACAACGACCGGACCAGCTGGGAGGATAACTTGGACTTCTGGAGTCGTTGGGAGTATTCTACTTGGGTCGACAACGAGGTCAGAGCCAAAAGTATTAGTAATAGTATAGCTGGCAATACCTAAGGATGACTGTGAAAAGAGCTAAACCCAGACGGGTGAGAGCCACCTGTGCTGCCAGCCATCAAAACTCCAAAGTCTATCATCGGAACTGATACTTGGCAGGCACCAGGTGGGGGAACAGCTCGAAGGCGGATGTCCAGGTGGACAGCGCCTTCACCAATAACGCCTCCCAAATCATACCTGATGTGAGAATGAACCGAGAAAATTAAAGTCTCGGCAGTCACTGCTCAAGCATTGTCATCAACTTACTCTCTGTAGCCTATCATAGGAGGCGTGAATACGCAAAGCTGCATCTCGACGCTCGAAAATGGAGAGAGTCGGACATATTCGACGCATTCATCGTCCTTCCAGACAGTGAGGGCCCTGCTCACAATCAAATGACAATCGCTCATGTCCCTCTCAATTCCTCACCCGTTAAGCCAGTTAGCATTGCCAACGACCGCTTGCAAAGCGGCATATGCATCGACACGTCCATAGGCAGTCCATCCTGATACGCTAGCAGTACTGATGATTGCGGCGATCACTTCGTCAAATGCCAGAGGGAATGGCGACCGTGCTGAAGAAAGACCGCAGGCATCGATTGGTCATAGTGGGAAGGACACACCTCCAATTAATAAGGCAGCGAGTCCAGCTACTTCAGCAGCGGCTAAGCTGGTACCATTGAATGTAGCATAACCATTCGGGGTGGCAGTTGAGATGACGTTGACACCAGGAGCAGATACGTCGACTACAACTGAGAAGGAAACACTCAACCGACGGGGGCGGTATGATCCTACTTGGCCCGTAGTTAGACGAAATCCATCGGTCCCCACTGGCAGTATGCGCAGCCGTACAGAGAACATTAGTAGCATTGAAACCACATGGATAACTCCCACCCATAACATCCAAGTCCTGGCCATCGTTGCCGGCAGCAGCCACGAGTAGATGACCAAATGTTCCAGCACGCCCAACCGCGATATGGAAGACGGCCGAATAAGATCTTGCAAACCAGGATACACTGCTTATTTTCACACCCTTGTCGATAGCGTAGTCAAATGCTCGCAGCGCATCGCTCAGCCGACCAGTGACATCATAATCAAATACCTTCAGGGGCAACACTCGGGCGAAGGGGTAGCCAACACCGATGATCCCCTCGCCGTTGAAACCTTCTGCTGCGATCAGACCTGTAAACAATATTATTTCACGCCCGCATTGGACTATTCTGAACAGCTTACCAGCACACGCTGTGCCATGTCCATTGTTGTCCATTACATTAGCATTTTCGTCAATGAAGTTCCAACCACGGACCTGAACAGATGAACTGGATGCACCCGACAAGTTCGGTCCCACATCATCGATGAATCCATTCGAATCGTCGTCGACCAGATACTGTGCCATCATACCGTCCTCAGCTTCGTTCTCATATATTGCATCCGCGACGTCAGGATGACCATAATCGACACCTGAGATCATGAAGCAATTGCTGCGATGATAAGGAGTTGAGTCCTTACCGGAGTCGATGAGAGCAACAGGAATCATCGGGTGATCATCCTGATCACAACTGGTGTTGTTATCGGACAGGCGGTCATTCAATATTTGATGGACCCGCATGTCATCGAGAGCCCATTGTTGGCCGAAATACCTACAAGATCGAATCAGTAGATGCCGTTGGACTAAATGGGTACTTACGTATCATCTGGTGCGGACATGGAGAGAGAACGTCGGTCGTGATTCGCCAGTTCGATCGAAAAGTCCTCTTCAGCTAGCATGCCCATCATGTTCATCTGCTGCACGAAAGGAGTCCTGAGCGGAAGGGAACAGGTAAAAAAAAGATCGTTTGAGGAGAGGACATGAGTCGCACTTACGGGTCGTTAGTTCCGACAATCTCAATGACACCAATTTGCAACATCGCTAAATGATACACGGTGTATGTCAGGTTAACAGGAATCGATAAGTTCGAGTTGACATCGAAGTATGGGGCTGTAGCGGAGCTGAACGAAGCACACGCGACCTGTTAATCGGACTCGAGAAAACCGGGAGCGCTCACTCGTAAATGATGCGACATCTATCAACAGCTCCAACTCCCGCGTTGGCAGGTCCCTGAAAAAACGAGTTGCACTGAGATAGCTGCCATTCGCTGATCACCTGTCCATATGCACTTGCCTGGCCGACACGAACTTCTCTATCAATCGAAGAGTGAATCTGAGATGCCAACAAATCAAGATAGTTGACAGATGCGATTCTTACTGGTGGTGGGCTAGAGATCTGGTGGTGCTGCAGGTACCTCGGGATATCACCGAAATCGATGATCTCGCTGCCCGAGCCGGAGTTGTTGATCGTAAAGTTGAAACACTCAACCGACTTGTTCGGATCGGCTCGTGAGTAATACCTGAAGGTAATAATATCAAAACTTCTTGGAGAGAACACTCACATTTCTATGTCAATCGGACTCGGGGACGAAGATATGAATTGGGATACAGATAGGCGTCGGTCTGACAGTGCGTCAGCACGGAAGATGATGCCAAGGAGAGCAGCAACATACAGGATGACGAGGTAAGCGGCCCTTGGAGAGTCCGGCATTCCGGAGAACAGATGAAAGCAAGCCTGACAAAGATGGCAAACGTCAACTTTACGAGTGGTATCATGATTAAGCTCAAAATCGAGGGTGATTACTCTCATTACCATCTCGCGTCGGTTCCGAAATATCTATCGGTTTCCTCTGCACCGCAGAAAAGATACTCCTAGGATACGCCGGGCTAGCGCTGCACGGACAGGTTCCTTGAGTGCGCAAAGCTTCGCACCGGCATGGTTGAGCTTCGTAATCGCCAATGAGTAAGTATCACGATTATGTCGATTGCTATCTCTTTACCATATTATGCAATTGCGTGAGCATAAAGGTATAGTAGTTATCGCTGTCTGGTGTGTTAGATTCGACCCGGTTGGGTATCGATTGTCTAAGAGGTAGTTGGGGACTTCGGTGATCACCTCCAACAAAGGTGGCGCCAGTTACAGCTAGCAATCGTGGTATCTGTTGCAAGGTCGATTCAATTCGTTTCCGTGCGTATTCTCTCTCATTTGTGTTATCGGATGTGATATTGCAAGTCCATATGGACGCATTCGAGGACGTAATGAATACTCTTGTCACGGGAGTATGGAAAAGTTGAAGATAGCGCAACACGATTACGGAGGATTTGGCGCCCATCCATGTTCCACGATAGTTCAAATGATTTCAGATCAATGCTGAAAGGCTCTCGCGATCGAGCCGGTAACCATCCCATCATGACGTCGAGGTTGAATCAAAAAGTTAACTGTGGTGACTGACCCGTTACCGTGAGCATTCCTCACTGTTACTCATTGAGGAACGACGCTCACGAGCTTGAGAAGCAACAGAGTGCATTCGAGCGACATGTTCACAACTTTGCCCGTATCGTCGCGATATTTAGCTGTGCTACCAATCGACCAGCGGCCGTGGGAGCTAGAGCCCCTCGATACCACGACAATCTAATATAGACAGTTCCAGCATCGTCATATCAGCATGTCTGACTTGGTGCGCATCATTAAATTATCAACGCGACTCGGAAGAGTTAACACTCACTCACTAATTCGTTATAAAGACATCATGCAGTATCGCAAGCTTCATCAAATGCGGTCGTTCGGACGTTCCAAAGCTTCATTCACCAAATTCGTCTACGTGCTCGGACCAGGAGTGTCAACCGTAGTAGGGAGAGCTACGGTGGTGACCTCAACGGTCGTGGCGGCATAGGTAGTCGTGACCGGTGGACCTGTCGTAGTCGTCACCACGGCCGTACTGACCATCTCGGTGGTATCAGCGGCAATGGTAGCCGTGATAGTTGCTTCGGTAGCGACGGTCGTGCCCTCCTCGACGGTGGTGGTCTCATCGGCGCTCTCAGCAGGGGTCGTGGTAGTGGTAGCTACCTCGCAGATGCACGGCGCATTGGATATATGGCAGACGCTGGGTGTATCCCAATACTTGCAGTAGGAGCCAGGGGTATCCGAGGCACAGCCAGCATCGCAGTCGCGAGGGGCTTCAGTCGTTGCACTCGTGCCGCAGGAACACGGGTCGTCCGAGCCAAAGCAAGTACTGGGGGTCTGCCAGTATTTACAATATGACCCAGGGTAAGTGACAGCACAGTCAGCGTCGCACTCAGCGGTATTGCCCATCACGTATGTGGTATCCATGAGGGCACCGAGGATGATGAATGCGGCAGTGAAAGAACCTTGAGCCATCACTAGAGTACACAAATGAGCTATCAAAAGGCTATCCACGACCGGTACTATTGATGAGACAACTCAACACGCTGGACCGCACTCCGCTACATTGCAATAAACTTACACAGATCTTCTAACCCTGAGGCGTGGCGAGCGTACGCTCACCGGGCCCAGACGTTTCACAAGATACTCTGTATAGTGCGGTATACCTCGGTCACCCAATCATCTAGGGGGCTCACACACTCCCCGTATGACCATCACTCATGACTACATATCTCTGCTCGCGCGATTGCCAGCCCCGGCTGCTAATTCCCATCGAAAGACCTTACCGCACGTATCTACTGTATTCCTAGGTCGCTGGATAGTATAGGTTGAAGATGATGGTCCGCGTGTTTGCATGCCCGGGCGCCTCATCGTAAAATCATCATAATTTATGATCCTAATGTATCTCGACTCGAATGTGAGATTCATCGAGAGGCTGCGTGACGTGAATCGCACATTAGCGTTTCATACAAAACGGGAGGGGTACCAGGCGCGATCGAAATTCACTTCATCACCAGAATAGACTAGCACTTAGTCTTCTACTGTGGTTTACTGTCATGCCTTCTGCTCAGATTCCTAAGCCTTGTCACCATGTGCTGTGAAGTCAGCTGCGCAGTCGGTTTTTTCGCGGGTTCACCAGCGGGTCCGACCATCGCTGTCGCGCTCTGTCGTCCACACATACCGTCCTCCCAATTACTCTCCCAGGACGCTAGGTTGACCACAGCAATGCTGAGTCTTGTGAAAGCCTGACGCCCCCTTGCTCCTCTATTAGTAAGCGGCTTACTGTAAGCCTCCTCTAATTTTCTCACAGGAGTAGACGTCCCCGCCACTACCGTATTTAACTCGTCATTGTACAACTCCAACTACACCGTCGATTTCGTATGTCTCACAGAGAAGATCGTATATGTGCCTCCGAAGAGTGTGTTGAGCAAGAAGTATTCTCACAGATCTATCGCTCTGTTGTTCACTCCTACTCTTAATGCTGCGCCTTGGCCTGGAGCCGTTACTATCGCTAGTTAATTCTTGCATGACTACTTCGCTTCTGCTTATACTCTTGGCAACGTCGCCGTTCGCGACCTCTTCTGAATGCAACGCGCACTTCGATGGCGATGGGATCGAGTGGGACGGGCCCGAGGTTTGCGCCGCCTCGCAATCCAGATTCTTACAGACCACCGACTTCATCAAGGCAGTACCGGCGACGATCCAAGTTGAGATGTAAGTCATCTCGAAGACTCAGCGCTTCCACCCGACATCAGGCTCTACAACGCTACTGGTTCGGACACCACAGAAATCGACTTGCTCCTGACGAACACCGGATCGGGTGTTGAAGTTGTTGAGTTCATCGACCTCGGCCGAGATCTTAACGTGATGGAGTTACAGCAGTCAACCTCGGCTGTTCCTGAAGTAAGTCTGACCGCTCGCACGCTTACGTGTATTTTCTTGGTAGTTATCTCCGCTAGTCAATCGCCCATCACGCGTGGCTGCTACTGAAGGATTCACCCGAGTAGGTTTGCTGGCTCTCTCACTACGGAATCGCTGAGCTCTCTCACTTCGTCAGGGCCAAGACCGAGATGGCTCAAGTTCCCGACGCATCATTTTAGAGTGAGTCAACTCTGTGTTGTCGAGGAACCACTGCTACATTATCGCATGGCAGCACTACCGGTCATGACTTCGCCGAGGTTACCAAATTGACTGAGCAAATGTCGACTCCTTTTACGCGCATGGTATTTCTGAGCAACCTGGACCTTGCAATTTTGGAAGCTGCAGACGCTGTTGATGCGTAAAAAAGGTGAATTCTGGTCTCACAATTATTGATGTGATTATGTCGACAATTCATTACTCGCTGATGGGAGTAGATGTAAATGCGTCATCAGGCCCGGCGTCGTCGAAGAGCTGACTGCGCTAGGCTTCATGGTGGAGCTCGATGTCCCATTGAGGCTAACGGCCGACTCTCCGCGGTGGACTGAACATGCCCCTGGAGGAGGGTACGTCCAATCAGTGTGAGCTTCAACCATCTCCCATGCTCATCTCACACTTGAAGCCCATTTTCTGAACGAGGCTATTTTTCTTCAGCAACACCTCGTCCCAATGGACCGTGATCGATATGGGTATGAAAGATATATTGCGGACTATGGGAGCATTCCGTGTTGACGAGTCGTCGAAGATTATTGTTGCTCTTTTGGATTCTGGTAGGGTGGCAGTGGTTTTGCTTCGAGACGACCTTCGTGGCATTTCAGGTGTGGATTTCGAGCATCCTTCCCTGGAAGGATCTATCGCGATCAATGCAGCGGAGCGTGAGGGCAAAGCTGAAGTCGATGATGATGACAATGGCTTCATCGATGATGTAAACGTCGTTACCGAATACTACACATGTCTCATACTGTGCGTAGGTGCGCGGATGGAATTTCGTAAGTGATGATGGAAATGTGATGGACAATATTGGTCACGGGACGCACTGCGCTGGTAGCGTTCCTTCCAGATTCACCTCTACCGCTGGGATCATCATCAGGTTTGATAGCGGCCAATGGGAAGAGTGGCCTCATCGGCACCGGCCTTTCCTATGCTCGAGTGCTGCCTTTGAAAATATTCGATATCGGCAATGGTGGAGTTGGTCGCCTTTCCGACGCCTTGAGGGCTGTCGACTACGCTATAAGTCGGGGGAGTAGAGTCAGCAGCATTGGTTGGATCGCTGAGACTTATTCGGAGATCTTCCGTCAAGCTGTGCTGAGAGCTCAGAATTATGACCATATTTTTGTGGCGAGCGCTGGTAATTCTGGTATCGACCTCGACGATGTGGGTGGCAGCTATCCCTGTGGATTTGCCGCGCCCAACGTACTCTGCATCGGAGCGCACGGACCAGATAGGAATCTCACACCGACTTCTAATTTCGGCCGAGGTAAGAGTATATCAAATTTTCTTGAGTATCATTTCAGTCGTCGACGTATCGGCACCGGGAGAATTCGTCGTGTCGTCTTCAATTGATGGCGGATCTGACACGATGGCCGGGACGAGCGTTGCCGCAGCGCAGGTCGCGGGAGTGGCTGCGATGCTGATCGGAGGTATGCAAACGTCTGGTCTGCCTTTCAGTATTGGGGGAATATATGTTCGCTTTCCCCAGCTGAGCTTAGGAGTTTTCTCACTAATGACTATATGAAGTCGGGTAGAAATTTTCAGATATAAATGAGAACTTCCCAAAATTTCCTCAGAACTTTCATATTGTCACCAACATATGTGATTGACCATGTGCATATTTTTCTACAGAAAATAGTATTTTCCGAAAACGTCGCTGAGGGATTCGCGAAAACCGATTTTGAGCAGGAATGATGTGCGTTTTTGATTCCTATTAGTCCGCCGTCCTTTTCCACTATATTTCGACGAAGTTTCCGCGGCCATCATCACTTCCACACAACCCTGCGCGGGCACGGCGTTTGGCTGCGTTGACGTTGGTAGGGTTCTCGAGGCCGTGACTGGAAAGAATATACTGAGCAAGTACGCTACTACCATCCTAGCATCTGGTGTGAAATCGTCTGCTTCAGGGCGCTCTATGTCGCTACTGGTCATCCGAGGAAGGCTATCAGTCGTATAAGGTTGAGACCACATCAGTCCAAGGCCCTCGCTGTGGTCTTATCCGGAATGCCAGCTCCTATCGGCTACAAGGAGTAGGTGTAGTCGCCGTAGTTAGTGAGTGAGCCAGGAACCTATAATGCTCCTGGCGCGAACTCATTAGTTGGATTTGGAGCTTCTATTTCTCGAAACTGAATGATCCCCTGGTCTCAGTGGGTACCATAATCTCCGTCGAGGTATCAGTTCGATACTACTCTCGTCGTGTTCATGGCTTTTTAAACCTCGTCATTGGGAGTCGTTTTTCCGAACCAAATGTACCCTCCTCTTCTCCCATTTTTGGCGTCCTCAGGTACGATATTCAGGGCACTATCGGTGGTGGTCTCGTTGCTATCTCTATCGGTGTCCGATCGAGTGGTCACTCCTCCACGGACGATGATGGGGTGAAATGCGAAGCCTCGAACAACGGGACGGTGGACTTCGGACGAGTTATGGTCGGACAAGAAAGTAATGCTCGTGCTCGTTCGCGGAGTTGATGACGGAGTCGGCAAATTCTCAGGTGGAGCGGAGTTTGTTCTGCACAATGGTGGCGATGTGGAAGTGTTGGTGGACCCCAACAGGCTGCTCGGATGGGCGCCGCTACTGAGAGTCGATCATCCTACGTCGGCCGTACCTCTGTCCGTTGGGGACTCCGTAAAGATCATCATCACTTATGTGGCTCGCAAGGTTGGACACCAGCGATTCCGTATGGACTCACTGGCGGCTGGATGCGATCCAATAGAAGTAGTCGCCGACACGGTCCCGAACCCGCTGGTCGTGCACGAGGGTTCGACGGTCATTTCCGTTCCAGCTGGCTCGAGGTCTATCGCGACGTTGGTGAATATCACTAATCCTTCGAAGCATACCATCCATCGGGCATCTCTTAGACCGCGAGGAAGGTTCTATATATTTGAGGCTATCTCGGTTGAGGACGTAGAGTTCCCTTTGACGTCCCTGGGCGGGGGATGGAGACCTGATATGGATTCCGCTGCGACTGAGGTGGACTGTGATGCTCAGCAACCAACGGTGGTTGAACTGAATCGTACGGCAATTTTTGACGGTGAGGAAGTGAAGCGTTTCGGCATCTTCTGCAATGGACTGGTCATGGTGTCACCTTCCCAGTACCTTCCACGCATCGACAGCTCATCACGATTCGTAGCGGCGTATTGGGTCCCGACTGAGCGCGCT